CTTTCCAAAGGAGACTGTGTTGAATCTGGGTATAGTGAAGTCATGATTGCGCAGTTCATACTTAATTGCAGGCTGTTCAAAGAGAGTGCTAATGTATGTTGGGCACATGTTGTTTTTAACTTTATACATGAGAATAGCTATGTCCTGTAGTCGCCGGTTGTGTAGAGTAGATAGCCCGGCCATAGATAGTAATTGACCATAGGACGAATGTTTATTACAATACATAGCCCTAAGTGCTCTTTCCTGGATACGCTCTAGTCGTCTACAATCACTAGCACGGCAAAAATGCCATATAAGATGACAGTTTACCATTCTCGTCCCCAGAGCCACTCGGCTTAATTTGTAACGTTTCAAGACCACGTGACCAAGAAACGACGGGCTCTAGGGACGAGAATGATTGAACCATAGCCTGCGTAGCTGGCGGAATGGCGGTATTGTTTACTAGTCGAGTGGATCAGTCGAGTGAGATTTGGCGGCGGAGCCGCCACGAGCGGAGTAAGCCTCCTCCCCACTCCCTTTTTTTGATCACGGCTCCGTTGACACAATACCTCCAGCTACGCAGGCTAAGTGGTAAACCATAGACACGAGATTTTGAAATCGTAGATTAGTTACAAAAGAAGAAATGTGTGGGACAAAAATAACGTGCAAAGCTTGTGCCTCAGAAAAAAAAATCCTGCAGACGAGTGGAATTAAAATAAAAATTCATGCACCTGGTTATCTCTAATGGCCCCTCCCCTAGATTTCCTCATAAAACAGAGTTAACAATCAGCAATTTTAAATATTAATAATAGTAAACAGTTTTTGAATTTTTCTTTTAGAAAGTAGTGTTCATGAAAAACTTGGTTGTTTGAAAACAACATTGTTCAAAATTTCATTGACTGAAGTACGATATGAAAAAGATTTCCGCCACATTTCGTCAAATTTTAATGAGAAGATTTTAAGATCTTGTTGTTTCTTTCCATTGCCTATTAAAGCCGTCAACAATACAAGGACTCCTCCGCCAAAGATCACACGATCACACGATTATACCAAAGGCGACGAAAACAGAATTTCAGAATTAATTTCTGCTGACAACTTCTGGGCATTTTTCTCAGGTTGTTCTTGTTCTTTTTTCTTTAAAACCTTATTGGCTGCAGATCTCCTCATGATAAAGATGTTAGCAAGGACGGTAAAGAAATCAGATCGGTAAAAATCGAAAAATCAGTTTTCGATCATCACAACTTAAAAAAAAATAGAACCCAAGGTGGAAAAGCTCAAGTATACAGGAAGTTGGAAATCGTGCAGCCCAAGATCAACCAGATCAGCCCGCATAAAGTATTACAGTCAAGATTAATAAATACAGACTATCATTTATTGGTAAAGAATAATTAGGGAGGAAAAGACGGCTTAAAAGAGAAAAGGGGGCTTATCAACTTTCTTCTCCTGAAAAGGGGTGCTTAACCCATTCGCGCATGAACAGCCCATGCGGATCCACGTCCCTTCTACGGCTTGTGACATCATCAGTTTTAATAATAAAGGATTAAATGAACTGCAAAAACCGTGGACGAAGATCCTGCTAGTTGTTAACGTTGGATTAGCCCGAAATTCATCAGATTGCTTCGATTCGTTTTCCCCTCTCAACAACGACGTTACTGAGGGAGTGATAACGACTCGAAGTAATCGGATGAAATTCAGGCTATTACTGGTGTGAATATCTTTTATTTTAAGGTGGCTCCGTAATTAATACAAGAGCATTTTGCTGTGACAAATTTTCCGTCATAACTTTTTGGTTCTTAACGCGATGACTGCGAAACTTTGCAAAGAACAACATATATCATTCGGCAATAATACGAAATATTCCGATTTCATTGATGGTAAATATTTCTTGAGAAATTAGCGCTTAAAAGGACCCTACTGTTCGAAGAAAATCGCGTCTAGTAAAAAAATTTGCTGATATTTTTTACTGAAATTTCTGGTATCGGCTTTAATTGATATAATAAATATGCCAGAGGAATTTCAGAAAAATCGTTGGACAGAAGTCCGTAACTAAAAGTCGCTCAAAATTCAGCTGTGAAATTGTTTTGGAATTTCAAAAATAAATTACTATCAGGTAGAAGGAGCCACCAGTTTGAATTTTCGGGACAAATATAAATTCAACGTTTGCTAATTCTTAAAACAAAAGCCGATTGCCTATCGTGCTATTCTTTAAAAAGGTACTTTTTAGTTTTAGAAGCACCATAAATTGCTCCAAACCTTGCTCTGAAGTAGAATGACTTGTTCTTCGACATTTTTAAAATATCCCTTTGCAGTTTTGGCTCAAACTCCTGCTGCATACATTTTGATGTATTGCAATTCATTTTCAACGACTTTTACTGCTGTTCGTTGCTTCCAACTCAGGAAAAAAAGTATTGAGATTGGACGCTACCTCGTATCAGAGCTCAGATAGAACTGTCCAGCACCTTTGTTTATGACTACAAAATGAGCACGAGCAGCAGTTCTGCGAGGAATTCGCACCTCACCCAGGGGGACGAACGACAATGATGACCATGCCTGTGAACCGAATAACATCACAGTGCAAAATAAAATTATCGCAAAAATACTGCCCGTGAATAAATTTACAACTCTGAAATTTTTGTCACTCCTTCCTTCAATGAATGGGTATTTTTTCTTGATTATTATGTTTTGCTCTGCAATACACGTTTATACAGATCGGTTCACAGACATGGGTATCATTATCATTCGTCCCCCCTGGCTGAGGTGCGAATTCCTCGCAGAGCTGTCGCACGTGCTCATTTTCTGGTCATAAACAAAGGCGCTGGACAGTTCTATCTGAGGTTCGATACAAGGTAGCTTACAATCCCAATACCTTTTTCCTGAATTGGAAACAACGTACAGCAAGAAAAGCCGTTGAGGATGCATTGCAATACATCAAAATGTATGTAGCAGGAGTTTGAACCAAAACTGCCAAGGGATATTTTAAAATGTCGAGGAACAAGTCATTCTACTTCAGAGCAAGGTTTGGAGTAATTTATAGTGCTTCTAAAACTGAAAAGTACCTTTTTAAAGAATAGCACGATAGGCAATCGGCTTTTTGTTTTAAGAATTAGCAAACATTGAATTTACTTGTCCCGAAAATTCAAACTGGTGTCTCCTTCTTCCTGATAGTAATTTATTTTTGAAATTCCAAAACAATTTCGCAGCTGAATTTTGAGCGACTTTTTAGTTACGGACTTCTGCTCCAACGATTTTTCTGAAATTCCTCTGGCATATTTATTATATCAATTAAAGCCGATACCAGAAATTTCAGTAAAAATATCAGCAAAATTTTTACTAGACGCGATTTTCTTTGAACATTAGGGTCCTTTTAAGCGCTAATTTCTCAAGAAATATTTACCATCAATGAAATCGGAATATTTCGTATTATTGCCGAATGATATATGTTGTTCTTTGCAAATTTTCGCAGCCATCGCGTTAAAATCGAAAAAGTTATGACGGAAAATTTGTCACAGCTAAACGCTCTTGTATTAATTACGGAGCCACCTTAATGTGTAAAACTTCTTAACCAGGTCTCCATGGTAACCGTTGCTATGGTAATTTTTAATTAAGGCTATTTAAGCGATAATTAGCATTACAATGTACATTCTTTTGAATAATGACCAGAGTTATCACTTCTTTATCCATCAACTTAAGTTAATAAAAAAAAAAAACAGTATTTGTGACATCAAAATATTGTTTTCCAAAACTCGGCATCTACCCAGTAATTATATCTCTACCACTTTATATATCAAATTCCCTTAGCAAGAGATTCAATTGAAAATTTTTGTCTGAATCAATATAGATTCTCAGCAAAAACTACCTCTAATTGCCTGATGCAAGTGTCTTTTTTACTTTTATAATAACGTTTGCGATTCTTACTAAATTGAAAACTTCCCAAAGTGCAAAGGGAGTAAGGCTCCCACAATGCAATTGGTACTTGCAGACTGTTTAGTTCAGCCATATTGGATTTTGCTTCGACGTTGTTTTCTTTCACAGGTAAGGTTTTGACTTTAAAAACACGTTCAGTTTCAGTTTAGGAGTAGTTTTATGTTGTTAAGAGCAATTTATCTGAAGATGTGCACAAATCAGAGAGCAAATTTCCATTTTTATGTTGAAAATTACGAATATTTAAACGTGTGGCTAGCGAAGGACTGACCATGTGCAAAGGTTTTGGTTTGTAAGCACATCCCTTTCCATTATTTATAAGTAATACTGTTTTGGTAAGGAAATCTATCTAGTTACATACAAATTATTGACAATGAAACACGTTCTGTAAAAGTTTTTATCAGTAAGTTTGCTTTGCTTAGAACAATTTATCTGAAACTATACACAAATATATAGAGCAAATCTCCAATTTTATCTTGAAAAGTACATATATTCAAACATATCGCCAGGAAACAACTAACTACGTAGGACATGTTTTCTTTTTTGAATTCAGAAGTTAATCACTGCTAATTTTAGGAAAGCAGGTTTCCTGATCAGAGGAAAGAATCTATGATTCCTTTTTACTTTTTCTTAAAATGATTGGTAATGGCTAGTTGTACTGAAAGCAGTGAGGAAGAAAGCGAAGTGACGCTTCTGCCTCCAAAAAAGAAGCCCAAATCAGATACAGACTTAACAAAATGTATTATTTGTCAAGAAAAAAGCAGTGAAAGACTAAGAAGTCCTACCGAAGCTGGATTGAGATCGTTTAAAGAAGCTGTAGAGGTTAGGAAAGATGAAACTTACCACAGGATTTTGTCGACTTTTGAAAATTTAGACGCTCTAGATGTTGTCTTGCACGGCAAGTGTTTTCAAAGTTATACAACCAAGAGAAATCTTAGCTTTATTAAACCATTACCTTTTCCTGAAAGTCAAGAAAGGCACGTTGACAGACCAAGTTCGAGATCACAAGTTAATGCAGTGGATTGGTCCCTTTGTCTATTTTGTCAGCAGAAAAAGTCAAAGGGGACAACAAAACTTATGAACGTTTCAACATTTGATTCATGCAAGGCTATAGAGGAGGCTGCAAGAAAAGGAGTGATGAGAGCATGCTGTTGAAGATTTCAGGAGTTGATTTGATTGCTGCGGAGGCCAAGTATCATAAACACTGCCGCTCCCAATACGTACGTAAATCCAACCTAATGTTTGTTGACTTTCGAGTTGACGGGGAGGAAGATGTTTACACCCAAGCGTTCCAAAACCTGAAAGAGGACATCAAACCTCAGTTAGAATCAGGAGTGGCCCTTGATATGAAAACCCTCTTGGACTCTTACCAGGGAATTTTGCAACACCTTGGCTGCAACACGGCAAAAAGTTACAAGTCAGAGAGGTTAAAACGCAGACTGCAACAAAGTTTTCAAGAAGAAATTGTCTTTCAGAAGCTACCGGATCCCTCGAAGCCAGAGTTGGTTTACTCTAGCTCTATATCTTTGCAGGATGTCATCAATTCAGCGGCTAAGAAAAGTTGCCATTTGGCTAAAATGTCAGCGTCTTCTGAAGATGAATCCTCAAACAGCCAGGGTCAGAATGATGTCAATTCCACACTATACCACGCCGCTCAAATACTGAGGTCAAGCATACGGAGTGAAAGCAAAAGTATAGGGATCCAACCTGTTGATGTGGAGGACATCAGTGCCTGTAAAGTAAAGAGTTTAATGCCTAAAGATCTTTACAATTTTTTGTGCTTGATGATCTCGAATCCAGAGAAAGTTGATGTATCTGCTCCGACTGCTTCCAATGCCGCAGATGAGCGACATATTTTAGCAATTGCACAATATCTAATATATGCAACAACTCATGGTCGCTTGAAGACCCCTAAGCACATTGGTTTGGCAATGTCTGTTCGCCATATGACAGGTTCAAAGCACCTGGTAACGATGTTAAACAGATTCGGTCACTGCTGTTCTTATGATGACATAGAAGTAGTTGACACTAACCTAGCATTAGACATTATAGCCAGCTTAAAAAATCTGGGTGCTGTTGTTCCATCTAACATTTCACCAGGAGTGTTCGTTCAAGTCGCGGGAGACAATAACGATATCAATGAGGAGACACTAGACGCCAAGCAAACTACTCATGCCACTACACTTGTCCTGTACCAAAGAAAGCAACAAGGACCAAAACCGAAACCTGCAGTTCGTCCTGCTCATTCAGAAAAACGACGGTCTCTTAACATCTCAGATGCAAATCCACCCCTGTTGGAGTTTGGTGCTTGTGGCAAGCGGCCTGCCGTAACCTTTTACAAAGACAAAATAGAAGAAGAGTGGTTTCAGTCCTCAAGCTCGCTCTGTACCACTGCTATTCAGATGGATTTTGGTTGGTTTCTAACACGTCTGTGTACCCACCAGTTGTTTAGTGAAAATCTACATAACCGCGACGGCGAAGTTTTTCAGCCCTTGCCAAGTTGGAGTGGGTTTAACGCAAAGATAGCAAGTGAGCCGCCACCCTTGACCTCCGTTGGTTACTGTCCAATGAACCAAGGTTCACCTACTGAATACAGTACAGTTTACACTGCCATGAAAAACGTCCAAGCAATGATGGATGTACTACACCAGAAACACAGTGTAATTACGTTTGACCTGGCAATCTACATGAAGGCCAAAGAAATTCAGTGGCGACGGCCTGAAGAATTTAAGAACACAGTGATCCGAATGGGAGGTTTTCATATAGCATTAAACTTCCTCTCAGTTATTGGAAAGATTTTCCAGGACAGTGGCATTGAAGACCTGCTAATAGAATCTGGTGTGTATGGATGCCACACGGTATCTATGCTACTGAAGGGAAAGTCATACTACAGAGGCGTGCGTGCACATAAGCTTGTTCTCGAAGCACTACTAAGACTGCAGTGGCAAGCATTTGGAGCTTGGATGGAAGCTGAGGACGTCGAGCTCCCAACATTATATCAACGCCAGTGTTTATCTTTAATAAACTGTTGTCAAAGAGAAAGTAATTCCAAAGCAATGGGGGAAGTTTATCAGCAACCAGAATAACAAGGTTAACCTTTCCAGATTTTTTTGCCGAGAGTGTTGCAGTCTGGGTGAATACAACTTACTTCCTGATCAAGAGCTGGTAATTGGAGGTGGCTTTGAAGATCCAACAGATACAGTTGTTGTAACCCGTGGACGTACAGATCCCCTTGCAGAGCTGATATCAGACCATGAAGAAGCCGACACGAGGATGATCCTTCATGCGTGGCACGCCTCTTTCACTAAAGAGAGGATTGTCATTCAGTCCCCTGATACAGATGTTGCTGTATTAGCTATCTATGCATACCAGATGATACAGTGCAACGAAATGTGGCTCAAGACAGGCGTCAAAGATAAGGTTCGCTTCGCCCCTGTCCATCGTATTGCTGAGAAGCTTGGTAGGAGTGTTTGCGCAGCGATTCCAGCATTGCATGCTCTAACTGGTTGTGATTCTACTAGTGGGTTGTTTCAGATCGGGAAAAAGAAAGGATGGAAGGTATTTGTCAAATATCCCAGTCTCCATGACAGTGTTGGCAACCTTGGCAGTCAGATTCCACCACCAGCGCTCACTGTTGAAGCCTGTGAGAGGTTTATTTGCTCCCTTTATACAACCAACAAGAAGGCAGGGGCAACAGCTGACGACGTACGCTATTGGATGTTCTGCCAAAAGCACCAAAGAAGTGAAAGTTTACCACCCACAAGCAACAGCTTGCGACACCACATTGAACGTGTCAGCTACCAGGCATATGTGTGGAAACACTGCTTGAATGCAACACAGCAACTCAGTCAGCAACGGATGGAAGAAAGTGGATGTCCAAGGATCCAGCACCACAAGGGCTGCTTGAACTGACGACTTGCAAATGTAACAAATCTGTCAGCAGAAGGGATGACTTGTGTCCTTGCAAAGCCCACGAGATGCCCTGTACGAGGCATGCCTTTGTATGAATGATGAAAGTTGCCAAAATCCTCACAAGCCAGTTGATGTAACACCTGGAAGCAGTGAAGAAGAGCTAACAAATGCTGAAGTTTAGCCTCTAGTACTCTAGTAACAGCAATACACATTCACGTTTCGGTATTTAAACTATGGCGTTCACTATCCCCCAAAATTCAGTTTCTGAATTTTGATCCTAATTTTAGCATTCCACATTGCAGTTTTAAAGTTTATACTTAAATTATGCAATGGAAAGTTCAAGTCCTCAATTTGTTCATTCCTCTCGTCGATTTGAAAACTATCTTCAAAACCAAAGCTAGTGCCATTTTGGTGTCAAAATCTGTTTTCAGATTTCACCTATAAAATGTCTTATTGGCAGTTGCTACCGTGAAAACATTGTTCAGATTTTGTCAAGATAGTGAAAGATTATTGTGAGCAAAAAGAGAAAATAAAGGAACAGGTTTTGACCATAATCACTGTAGTAAACAGCAGTTGTTAAGGGAAAGATGAGTTATTTTGAAAATTGAATAACGTTAAATTCAAAAGTATTGTTTTGTTTGATTAACTTAAGATGATGGATAAAGAAGTGATAAGTTTGGTCGTTATTCTAAAGAATCTAATGCTAATTATTGCTTAAATACCCTTAATTAAAAATGACCATAGCAACGGATGGATGACCCACGCTCAGGGCCACGCGTCCTTCACGAATTGACGCAGAACAAAATGGTGGAGAGCGATATTGCTATTGCTATTCGTTTTCTCGACGAAAACGACTACAGAGAGATTTCTGCTAAAGCCGTGTCAGCGAAACAGAAATTAAAAAAGAATCGCCCTTCCTCTCTTGTAGAGAGCTAACAGTACAGCCGGGAAATCGTTAACATACTGAATATTCTCTCAGGATCATTTATAATTTACAGTTTGAAGAGAGCAATTTCTGGTTTGATATTTATTCTTTTATTAGTCTTTTATTATTCAACAAAAATAACACTTGGCGTCCTACTTACTTTATTGTACCAACGACCGGTTTCAATAGACCAGCGAAATTTCTCATTTTATTGAAGCTCTGAGGTTACGACAACTTCGAGTTAAACTAATTTCACGGGTTGTCAAAGAGTCCAGCGAATTCCCTTTTCCCAGGTGAGCGCCGATTCATTTCGCTTCAATATTCAGGAATGCTCTCAATCTCTACGCTTTCATTGCCTTTCGGCCATGTTTTGCACGGCGTTTAGTCAAGCGAAACCTCCGCGAAACATCTACGCAGCGCGCGAGGTAACTTTATCCCGATTCTAAAAATAACTCGAGACGAATTACCTATGGAATAGGGTGTATATGGGGGATGCCTTCTCTGTCCCCTTTATCCTCTCTTGCATGCAGTTAATCCCACTAGAGGAAATTCGTTCTTCATGTGACTCAGTTCGTAAGGCCAGGGAGTCGCATTTGATAGATAAGGCCATGACTCTTGAACCTCATGGCCTGAACCGCCGTGACGAATTATTGTAATCCATATCCTTAGTATTTTTTCCTTCCCAGTTTTTATGTTGTACGTCATTTCCGCCTCTCCCTTTTAAACAATTTTTATTGCGACATTCCCCTTCTATATAATATTGTGATTCCCACATAAGTTCAGTAACGTCTGTAAACCTGAAGAAGGCTGGTATGGTCAGCCGAAATATTGTTATAAAAAACAATACATGTTGTTTTAAATCCGCTTTGCAGTAGTCTTTGGTCAGTTTTAATGATCAACGTTGTCCTGAAAATTTCCATAGAAATCATGTTCTACTCTCCAGTCAACTACCCTAAGTGGTTACAGCCGGGAGAGTAAGGTTTATCTCACCTACACTGATATTGACACTTTGATAAAGATTGACTGACAGATCTGTTTTCACACCCATCACATTGTACAGGGTATTCCGGTTACTAGCAAGGGCAAATAAAGTTCCTCAAGTCCAGTATCCACAAGGATTAATAAGAGAGTAACACGCACAATGCATAAACTTCTATAGGGCAGCACTGTTTACAGGAACATTGGTAACTAGTAACATTTGATATACTACAATGTTCAACATTGCTTAAGAAAAGATGAGCTTCATAGCTGGCAATATGTATACCTTTAAGTTCATATATGTATATCCTCATTTCTACGTAGAGTCTGAAAACATTGTACTAATTTAAGCATGGATGGTATTTCCAACAATACACGTCCCTTAACTATGACTGTCATGATACATATCTCTAGCATGAGAATCAAATACATTATATCCCCCAGCCTCAATGCTGTAGATACCAACACCAATAATTGCCACCGTTAAAATGAATGAGTCGTAGTTCAGTGCCAAGAGTGTTTCAAATGCTGTACCCTGTGAGTGGCATATACAGTGGTGGAAAAATTGCTCAAACACTGTAACCATTCCTGACAATTCTGTTAACATTCACATAGATTGTCTTGCAAGTAGTGACAGACTAGAATATAATTGAATACCCACAATCATTATTTGAGTCATATCATCAACTGAAGTAATCTTTGTTATCTTACTGTAAAGTAAAGCGCACAGACTCATTGCGACACATTGTTGTCCAGCATTTTCCCCAACAGTATTTGAAATACAGTTGCGTTTCGTTGACAGTATGGAGCATGAATTGTTTTTGTAGCATCTACATAAACTGTAGCCTCCCCCGGGGAAGGCTACATAAACTGAAGGCCCTGGATTCTTCTCGATATCAGTACAAAGCTTAAATTGGCCAAAATTAACCCGGTGCTTCAAACTGTTGTAAGCACTACAAAATGGATAATTGCATGTACAGAGGGGCAAATACTTACTTAAAAGCCTATTTGGATATCTCATTCCACCTAAATCGCCTGTGCTTTGATGTTTAGACGACAGATACACCTTCCCTCGTTTACGAACTAGTTTTGGAGTTGCCCTTAACGTAAAAACCTCACACTGTTACAGTTACAGTTACTTCTGTACCTGTTTAAGTGTAAACCTTTTCTATTTTTAACGTAACAATGAATTTCAGACGACAATGGTGTATTTTTCCGAATACCCTTCCATACAAAAAGCCTCACCTGCCATGTTTTCTGTAACAAAGATTTCAATTTTTTTATCGGTAGTCTGATAGGTGCAAGATCGCGTCGGTCATGTTGAAACGTAGACTATGCAGACTGCAGACTGCAGACTGTGCAGACCGTGCAGACTGAGTGTTATTTTTTTCACTTGTACCTTAATTTTCTAATAAATTAACTCTCTCGTGTTTAGTAAGTTGTATTACTGCTCGTCCGTCTGGTCGAACACTTCTGCCAGCAATATACGCAAACTACAAGGAGTACAGAATTTCGCTGCTCGCATAGTTTCTGGGACAAGGAAGTTTGATCACGCATCTCCAGCCCTGAAAGACCTGAGATGGATACCAGTTAAGTCCCACCTGTATCTAAGAGACGCCATCTTGGCCTTTAAATCTATGACAGGTCAGGTACCAAACTACCTCAAGTCAAATTTTATCTCGAGAGGGAATATCAGTGGTTGGACGACCAGATCATCTTCCCAGCTTAATATACCGCTTTTTAAAACCAAGTCGGGACAGAGATCTTTTTATTACAGAACTGTAACGTGGTGGAATGCGTTAAAACCCCATTTTAAATTAAGTGAATCTCTTATCATTTTTTAAACGTAAAATGAAAGCCTTCCTTTTAAATCAATTTTTAATGTCATAAATTTATATGTAAATAGTTTCTTAATAGTTTATTGATAATCAACTTGTGATACTCTTTTTTATTATTATTATTATTTTTGATTACCTGTACTATTAATACTTGTCTCTGAAAAGCCCCCATGGGGAGTAGACAATAAAATTTGTATTGTAGTATTGTATTGTGATAAAATTTTTACTACAGTTTCCCGCAGGAGCGAGCACGATGGAGGAAGGTAAGCTGTTTCTTTCTGTAACTGTATCATATTGCCACGATTACTTAAATTTTTTAGTAGAAAAAGCTTTTTCAGGTTAATTGACTTAAATAAAACCCTTTTTGGCTTCCTACAACGGCTACGAGAGAGACATTTCCTCAATTTCCTTGATTGTTGATGATCGACTTTGGTTTCACTCTGTCATTCAAACCGGTGACTTGCCGTCATTTCTTCAAATCTTACAGATACCGATGTCATCCTTGTTACTGTAGCTCGGAATATCAAACCGAGACGTTTGAGAGATGGGCCTTGCTTAATGTGTAAATAAATCAACGGTATATCTACCTAACTAGTGTGATTTCCACCTGTTTGGCGGTTCCGTAGGCGTCAGAATTAAGAGAAGAAGGGCAGCGACTTGAAACTTCTCGCAGATAATATTCAATGAAAATTAGGACAAAATATACCTAAACTGGGAGTAATGGGAGCTTAGGAGAGTGCGTTCGATATGTTTGTTAGGCATACAGGTAGCAGTTGAGGGAGAAGGGAGGTTGTGATATAGATAAATATGATTTTTGAACGTAAGGGTTACGTACAGCGAAACCTCTATTTAAACTGTCACGGCCAGGGATCTCGTTCAACGCGCATTCAAACCTCCTCCACATCTTCGAGTTGTCAAAATAATACATTTGTTACTAATAAACTTTTTAGTTTTGGAGCTGCATAAACAAGAACCATGATGCTCGAACAAGA